GTCGATGCAAGCAAAGCATGCGCTGCTGTCATTGGCCTGCCAACTCACAGGATGTAAAGATGTATTATTCGTACTTTGCGGATGCGCGATAAATTCCTGCGCAGCCTAACGGTAAGACCTCGAGGCAGGAGAAGGCAGATGACTTCAAAAGGGAGCGCTTAACAGCGCAGCGAACGCTTGACTTCCCCTCCCATAGATGTCAAACCCCCGACGGTCCAATAATTTCTCCGTACTCGCCCGCGCTACACACTCAAAAGAATGCGCATTTAACTGACTGAAGTATTTTAACCAGGCCTGGTGGCATGGCGGAGAGAAGAACATGCAGTCAGCGTCGTGCGGACCGTACAAATCGATAGGGGGACAGGGGGATCATGGAGACTGATGGCGGCACGGTGAGAGCCAGGTGGGAGGGGGGGGGGGGTGGCATCACCGTGGCACTGCTTAAAAGGCGGTGTTTGAGGCATAAACCAGTTCCTCCGGCATGGGGTTGGTCCTGCCTGAGCACTAACTAGGCCGCACCCCCAATTCCATCCACTGAGAAACATCGAGCAGAATTCCTTTCACTGACTCGTGTTAATGAACCAAGGCTCCTGCGGTCGAGCAGCACAATACGTTCGAAGATTATACCTTTCTGGATTTCCGTGAGGGACCCTCAGAGATGTCGAATGCTTGCACAAGTCGCTGGGAGCTCCTGTCTCCGTTAATCCGTGTTTTTTTTTACAGTGCCACAAGCATTTACGTCGCCAGTTCTCGACATATCATGGACGGTGTCTGGTTCCAAAAGACTTCCGAGTCACGCTTCCAGCTGTGTTGCCGGTGACCGACTACCCCATTAAATGTCTGGATGTTGCGTCCGACCTCACTGTGGCTTCAGACGTCCATCAAATGAAGAGCTACCAGATGGACCTTCTCGTCAACATTTCATCGGTCCTGGCACCATCGTTGTCCGTTTTGGTTTCGGCAAACTACGTGAATGTTGCCGTTACGCATGGAACTGACAGCTGACGGCCTTCTCGCTCATCCCATGTACGTTAGATAGCAACGGAATCTCAGACCTCCGACTAAACCCAATTGTATCGCGTCTAAATGCACGTGATCATGAAGCACTTAAACTGCTATCCTAACGGTCCAGCTTGGGCTGACATGCGCTTGACCGGGTGACAATTTGGACCAGAAATGGTAGGGTGTCAGCTGATTGGTCAGAATGAGTGCGCGACGGTCTGATGCAAACTTGACGTCACCTAGATGATCCAATCGTATTGCAGGCGACTGATATGAGCGCGCGCGGCTAGGTGGCATCAGGGACACGTTGAAAGGCGCACGGGGGAGGTCTGTCGACAAACCGAATCCGACTTCGCCCAATGGACACGGCATTGGCCCGATTTCATGGATTACCCAAAATCCACAAGCCCAACGTCCCCCTTCGACCGGCCGTTGCCTTGAAAGGCAGACCCACGTACAATCTATCCAAATGGATAGAGAGGGATCGAGGATCTCTATCAATTTGGCCTCCCAATTCTTGGCCCACATCCGAGGGAAAACTGTCCGACCTGATCAAATTACGGTGTCTTTTGACGTGGTTTCATTGTTCGCATCCATCCCACCGGATGTGGCACGCGACGTTCTACGCAAACGACTCGAAGAAAACTACGACGAAACGAAAAGACCTGTAAAAATCGACCATTTACTGCAACTCTTTCCTTTATGTAAACAAACCTTTTTCACCTTCAATGACAGAACATAGGAGTAGACCAAAGGAACACAGATGGGCTCGCCAATATTCAGCCTAGTTGCGGAACTAGTCTTACAGGAGCTGAAAAAAGTCACCTTCGACCACTGTGAACCTGTGTTTTGGCGCAGCTACGTAGACGACACGCTCGTTATAATTGAAATGTGCAGACTATCAGACTTTCAAGAGATGCTTAACGGCACCTTCCCGACATTCAGTTCATAAGGGAAGAACAACATGCCGAACAGTTGCCTTTCCTTGATGTTCTCATCACACGCAAACTCAATGGCCAACTCAGTACCACGGTGTATAGAAAGGAAACTAACACGACTCAAATTCTCAACTACCATAGCAACCACCCAATGATGCATAAACGAGGCTGTGTTAAGGCACCCTTCCAAAGGGTAAAAACGTATTGCAGTGAACCGGAGGGACGAGTAAGAGAACTACGGCATCTTCAAGACCAACTGGCAAGGAATGGATACCCAAACAGCTTCGTCAGCCGCTGTCTTCGCACGCAACCACGGCGAACAAACGGAGGAGAGCCGCCAACACTCTGGCACCCCCTCTATATATAAAGAATGTGTCCGACGCAACGGGACGTATCGCTGGGGAGCTCGGCGTGGGTATCGCTCACCGTCCGACAACGACCATGAGCAATAAAATCATACGAATGAAGGACCGACTAGACGTAGGAGAACAAGCAGGTGTCGTTTATCAGATCCAATGCCGGGACTGCCCTCGCCATTACACAGGACAGACCGGACGAAGGTTTAACTCGCGAATAACGGAGCATAAACGGACGGTCTGGAGAGGCGACCCGTTGTCTCGGGTCGTTACTCAGACCCCGGAGGAAGACCACGAAGCCAACTTCACGAGCACGCGGATAATAGCGCGGGCTAGCAAGAAGACAGGGCGAGAACTCTTGTTGGCCTGGGTGTCTGACACCAACTCCACCAACAGACACGTTGATATACTACCCTGCTATCACGCACTACGTTCTCGCGGCCAAGAGGCGAGACCTCAGCCTAGGGTGCGCGCAGTCACGTCGCCGTGAGACTGCGTAGGACTCAGCTTATTGCGAATACCACCCTCTGCACTCATATCCGTATAGATTCAATGTCGACATTCTGGCCGAATCTGAAAGGGCTTGTATCGGGGATCTTATAAGTTCGCGCGCTTATTTCGTAGGAAATTGAAAAGTTCAACTTTCCCAGTTGGGTTCGCGGCGCTCGTCTGGGGTCTTACAATAAAGATGTATTGCTAACAGACATAACACACTCTTATAATTAGTTCTGATGCATTACTATCATCTTGCAGGTCCACAAGGAATTCCTTGATGAGCAAGAGGGCAAATGACTCCGGAAACGAGCACATGCCTTCGACTTCTAAATTGCTACTTGTGTGTACGGGCATCCGCGGCAGAGAACATGCTACCCAAGAGGGAGAGCTAAGTCAGCTTGGGATTGGTGACTGCAACAGCAGTGACTTTCTTTACACGGAACAGAGGCTTCTGACCGACACCTCTTTCCCCCCCAATCCGGTTGAACTTTGAACTGAAGCCTAGTCTAAAAGCGTCCTTTAGAAAGCAGTGGACAATGTCTAGGAAGCATAAGCGGAAAAGGTAAAGTTAGAACTTTGCTGTTTGGATTCCGTGGAATGTCAGAAGTTGAAATAACAAGGCAGCATCCCCACTAGATAGCCAACCCTTGACGCTATGCACCCTCCAGGAGGCAATCTGAAGAGTGTAGTGCCTATGGCATTCCACCAGAGGCGTTAATCATCTACCAGATTGCGGCGATGCAACTGAAGGCTATCAAACGAAATCCCGCTGCAGAAAACAAGATAGTACAGACGCCCAGCACTTCATTTTCTTGCAGATAGTGTTAATTCGGCTGCACGTAGTTCGAATTCCCACACGAGCGTACAGAGCACGCCGTTTTCGCTGTCCGCATCTGCAACATGAGATACAAGTAACTTGGCGTAGCCAACAAGAGTGGTCCAACAAATATGCAGTCGATCTGGTTCTAAACGTGGTCATCGGAATAGCAGATAGTTAGGTCATATTGAGACGTCGGACAGAAATTTGACGCGACCTGGTGGCTCAGAGTGGCGAAATTGGCGACTAGCATTACAGTTTCCTACTGGCTCGAAGACGTATGGCATCGCATGTTCGCAGTTCGTCATAGAACGCCCTCAAGAAGGTGATCAAGGCGCTGGGGACGTACGACGCAAAGTTACCGAAAACACGCACAGGCCCAATCCCCGGTGACACCGGTGCTCAGCGCATGAGTGAAATTTTATATTGATTGCTCAAGACCATTGCAACATCATGTCGGCTGGAGTTATCAACGAAACTGCAATGACAAAGGTAGCTGAGCTTTAGGTGCCCGCCACCTTGATGCTGCGCTAGCCTAGGAGATACAGGCAACGTCCATATTGACCTGCGCCAAAGCTCGCATTGTTAGACTTCGCGTGGCCTGTTTAAGTCCTCCCATATCAGCATCTTATGCGCAGTTCCAGTCTTCTCCGTCCTCGAGGTGATCAGATTACTTATTTAGCATCCAGCTCCATGGCAGAGCTCCGGACATGACGGTTCCTGCGGACACTGCAACATGCTTACAGATAGGTGGTGTGGAACTTGCATCAGATGGATGGCGATCCAGAATGTAAGGCGGCAGCAGTCGGGAGTCATTGATTGCTGGTTTATGCTCCCCATGGCTGTTCCATAACTGGAATCAGCGGCATCGTAGTTATCGGTTTGCCAGACTTCCACCTTACACATCTGCTATTACTACCCTATCAGTCTGCAGTTGCTGACCTTCACTGGACGACTAAGAACCAGTTTTTTTCTGCTAACAATAGGAGAGCCCAGTACCATCTATTTCAATAAGTAATCGGTTTGTTTCCTTTGGTCTATGTAGACAGGATGAGTTTGGAATTTAAACTAGGGAATCAGTTATTTATAGGTCGAGCGAGTTAAAGAATGCCAATGGGAGTAGGCTAGTTAACGCAGTTTACAGAAAAATTATTTTCACGACTAAGCAAGGAGTGTATACAACGTACGGGACTGTATATAAAATTAACGACGATCCCAATGTTTGTAGAACACTGGGACTGGAAACTTGGATAAAACACTTGCTTCTCACAAACACGGTATCAGTGAACAAGGAAAAGACTAATCTCGTCACGAATTTAAAAATGCGTTATCATCGTACGCTGCAAGAAGGCTAAAGCACCTGGTATAAGCAAAAGTTCGACTAATTAGCTTTCAGAGATAAATGTCTGGATGGATTTTACTTGCCTTCTTTCCACTGGCTGCGAAGAATCCATGAGTTAAATGACCCCCATCGGGAAGCGACAGACCCATGATTCGTCCATGGGGGCCAACAAGGCCCGTATAAACAGCGAAGTTGGCCGGCGATCCGCTGTATGGTTGGACATTAACGCCCCAGTCCTCTGGCGATAGATTGAAAAGCTTCAGTGCGCGCTCTATACACAGGCTCTCCATAGCATCTATGTACTCCGCTCCACCATAATACCTTGGAGAAACGAAAACGGACAAAAATAAACGAAGTTTGGACTGTCTTTTCCAAATCGAATTCCAAGAAAGATCATTGTTCGAGTGGTCAATATTGATGGTACGTCAATTCCAGTCTCGAGGACGTAAACATGAGGGTATAAATGGACAGCCTCCAGAGTGCATAAATGCTCAACTTTCTATGAGGAACTCCAGTGCGAAAAACAGACGTATTCTGTACAGGATAATATCAAAGGGCAGGACCGGCAATGTTAGGTTGGACACTCCAAAATACAACTATGGCATCTGTACATAACGGGCCGCAAATAGATATTGATTTTTGTATAACGATGTAGTAGATTTTTTTAAATGTTCGTAAAATATTTTAACAGTACATTAAAAACACAAGTCTCCAACAAAATTAACACGAGAACCAGAGTTTCACACAGACTTATGGTCTATCAACAGCCGTACATGGGAATAACTTACCTAGCGCCTACTTGGCCTTCGGAATACTTGTTGTGGAAGGACGACGATAATGCAGCCATAACGGCCCCGCTGATAAAGTTTTCAGACGCAATAAGCTCCAAGCCTTCTTTCTGTCGTTTTTGTTCTTTCAGGCATAAGTCATAAATAACAGGATCGGTGGAGGACAGCATAGTTATCGAACGGACCGCCAGAGAACAAACAACCGCAACTCGAGGGAAAATAATTCTGGGCGGTTTCATGTTCAAGGTTACTTTATAGGTATCACGGAGAAGTTAAACAACGTAAGATTTTTTCTATAGCTACAGATTACTGTTCTAGTTAAAAATGTCTTTGGTTTTTCGAGCCGCCGCAACTCGAGCATTCAGACGGTGCGAGACTAGCTAGTGCTTTGTTTAAGAGTTCCATTGACTGAGGGATACGTAAACAACTGTCCATGAATGGAGGTGTAAGTTAAGGAACTGATTTGGGGCAACAATTCATCCGGAGTTCCGAAAGCCGACGAAAGTGAAAAAATTCGGTTTTTTTATTTCTATGCTTTCGGCGTGCGGGCTGGCCATGTAGGTCTAGGTGCATTCATATAAGCGACAATTCTGCTATTGTCCACCAATAATGATGACTACGAAATGTATCAGTATGCATAACCACATCCCCAAATCCTCCAAATCAAATGAAATCCTTATAGATAGATAGATATAGATATGATTATAGATATGATATTATTACGATTGTTACGACTATACTATTCCTGAAAACCATATTCAAACTTCCAACGGCTACTGTTCCTAGAAAGCAGAATCCAACTCTTTATTTTCACTTTACAACATGAACCCTCAGGCAAGCCTTCGTCGAAATTTGATGAATACTCAATCCTTAACCACTCATTTGAAATCGATCGTCGGTATGGAAAAAGTTAACCTTGAAGTATTCGAAAGTTTTAACTACTTTATCACCTGCAGCTTCAACTTTGAAGTCGCTGAGGCTAAAAGACCTTCATCAAGGGGGAAACATCTACCACTTCCGATTTAAATATTCTTGTTGATAAAAGTAGACTTTGTTTTTCCCATCTGGAGCGCTTAGTGAGTATTTTAAATCGGGATAAATCTCCAAAAGAAAGCAGAATTTCTCCATCATTAGCAAGTTTAAAGACGTCCAGGACATCTACTCTTTGACAACTTGCTTCTGAGGTAGATCCTTCATTTAATGGCAGCCAACTGTCCTCCCAATCTGCGACGGTCCTAGCTCTACTTGGCTATTCGTCTGAACACACTGTCGCTGTTTCAGTTGATACCTGCCACTTTGAAAAATTTCCAAGTAGCAGTAATTGCTCAAACGAGGCTCCCATCATCAATAAGCCGCTTGGTTGTACTTGTAAAGATAAACTCACCCTAGAGTCACAGTCGATCTCGATTGCACAAAATAAGGACTTAGCATAAATACTGGGTCCGATCTAACTTTTTCCCGGGCCATGTAACTCATGTCTGACCTAATCGTAAAAACAAATAAGCCACAAAAAAATCTAAGGAGACCTTTGCCTGTTCCTAATGCGAATTCCCAATTTAAACTTGGCACCACAGTTGGGAAGTCCACCAACACAACGGCGTATAAAATGCCCGTAAACAATGTCGGCAATCATTTTCCCAACCACACAGTCAGCCAGACCCCCAAATTAATTAAGCCTGCTCAGGTTGTAAAGTGACTCTCAAAACCGTTTGGATTGTTTTATATGTAACTCACCCCTCATATTATGCGCCGCATTATCAAAATCCTATTTTTATATGCCTCCTATATATTCGACCCCAAGAAACAGCATTCCACTTCACGGACCCTGCCTAAATATGTTTCCTTACAATGCTGCCTGTTCAGTTATTGGCAACATCTACACAAATTTTAGACCAAAACAGTTTGGCTTTACCCCATTTACTTCCTCCATATAGCTTGATTTTCCACCACCAATTCTTCCTTTTTATAACTGGTAATGAGCAAAACCTTCATCGCAGGAATTCGCTTTGTATAGTTTCCCTCAACCCGAAATCGGTCTTGCAATAGACGGTTCAGATAATAACTGTAGACTGCGATTTTGACCAGGATGTTTTAGGAATTACAGCATTTCCGACCCAGCTTATACCAACAAGACTACCTCGAAAAACGTGACGGTGTTTGCCTTCTTCATATGAGGGCTTTCACTTGTGCATTCGTTTTATGTCCTGAACCTTTATTCCCATTCTGAAAAGCTCATTTTCTTTTTGGCAATCCTTCCGCAAAATAGGAAAGCCGAATTGAATGTATATAGCATCCTCCTTGCCACTCCAACAACGAACACAGCCTCTGTGAACTCTTCGAAGAAAAAGACTTCCTTGAATATCAAGATAATCGTAGGCGACCTTAATTTGCCAGAAATTGACTGGCATGCAAAAACTCCCGTTCCTTAACTCCAGAGGTTTTGGATACTATTCAATTTGCAAACTAGTCTCAATTAGTTCGTTCATCGACCCTTAGGAGTACTTTATGAAACAATTTATTTATCGATCTCGAATTCAGATAGACAACGTATAACTTCAAGTGTCCTATTGCTTTTGGTGGGGTAATACTATCAAATTTATCACCAACAAATCCACGTATGATTTTCTTGACATCAAATTGAATTAACAAATGCACTGCACTTTTCAGAGTAACCCATGAAAAAAAACAGGACTTTCCGTTTAATTTCCCTCATTTCTCTTCTTCATGCTGCTGTAGTAATAATGAAATATTTATTTTTAAGCGCTCAGAGGGTACTATAAAAAGCATGTTGACGCGGAGTCGATCGGTAAAGTGCAGTCAACGTAGGCAAAAATGACCTGAGTGAGCGGCCAGGTGAATAGTAGAATTTAGAAATTGTGTTATGAAAAGTTGGCAGTCTTTACGCCTGCCGGTAATCTGACCTTTCGCATACGACACCTTCGGCAGTAATATTCACAAAACCCAGAGTTTAAGGTTTTAGAAAAAATGGTGACCTACGAACGAATCATTAAAAAAAACACCCGAGGCAACCGTCACTTTCAAAAAGATCTTCAGGAGCAAAATACGACTACTTTGCGAACGGACACAGAGGAGTGGTGGAAGTTATTCGTGAGCGTCAATGAAAATGAGGGGACATTAAGTGGTGGCAAACCTTGGGTGGGACTGACAATGTGGGTAAGAGCTCGAAATCCCAAGGCAGGATCGGAATCCTTGTGAGTATCTACAATAAACTAAACGGAGGCGACTTAGAGCGTTCGCGCCAACATGACCCCGATTACTTCTCGGAGAGGTTGGTCAGGGAGGACAGGAGGTTTTGTGAATGACACGATGCATGGACTGAAAAAATCGAAATTTCTAGTGAGAGATCGTGCCAAGCGAAACTACATTCGGGGAGAAATTGAAATTTGTGAGGATCCGGGGATTTGGAGTCGATGTTCTAAATTTCCAATTGTCCTTTCTCAATTTCCTGGAAAAGTCTGGAAAAGAAAAGCTTAACCGAGTCTGTATTCTGATGAAGGCACAGTTTTCTCTCAAACGTACGTTGAATATTTGACGATCTTTTATAAATCGGCAGGTTTTTTTCAAAACGAAGGTATTCCCGGAATCCGAAAAGAGGGAACTCTTAGAGGTGGAGGATGTGGGAGGAGGTATAATTTAAAAAGAATGACGAAGATTGCATGGGCGACTAACAGGGGTAAGGGCTGAAATGCGAGAAAGATATTAGCTATTATTTATGCGAATACGGAGACCGAAGCCAGCCTCTAGTCTTCGTTAGCTGGCTAGAGTCACCAATCTTCTGGCGATATTTTGTTCGTAACTACGTCCACACCCTGCCTCTCATATTGAGATTATCCCCCATGTTGGCACGGAATCACATGTGGGATGGTATCCATCATTGACTTAGAACCACCGAAGTCATGCATATTGACTTATGTGAAAACACGCAAGGAAGTCCTGCTCGCTAGGAGACATTTTCAAAATCCCAGAAAACTTCACTTCCAAGTTCTCCGCACAACTCTGTTCTGTCGCATCTGCAGCGATGCCCACTAGCGTGTCACCCGTTACTTTCTCCTGCCGATGGGGTTTTTAAAAGAGGTACGTATCACTCAACAATGCTTGTTAGCTCGCGTAAAACGCATTGGCTACGTAGCTTCTTATCTCATGAGTTTCCATGCAGCTTGTATAAGTCTCATTAGAAGTCATTAATCAGGAGAAGGACAGTTTTATAGGGCTTCATATGTTTGTGGAAGGGGTTGGCCAAGCAGATTATCATTCCACCTATGTGCATAATATTCAAGAAACTTCCTAATCTTCTGTGGTGAACTAGACAATCTAAAATATGAGCGCTTGAAGACATGACCTTGCTCCCCGGGTGTATTCCGTACGTTGTGGACGGCGACATAGCACCGTCAAACTTGCCCACGTCTTTGCACGTGCGGGTGCCTTTGCTTCCAGTATTGTTGGCAAAAAATCAAAAATACGTATCGCGGTGCTACTGAACGTCTATTAGTAACATTATTTTAAGAATTTTAATTAAAAGGCTATCACCGCACCAGTGCTAAACTAAGAACTCCTGAAGCAAAGACTCGAAAGCCGTTGGGGAAAGGCAAACTAAAAACAGATTTGGATCGTGTAAAAATGCATTTGTTCTACAGGTCGCGCGAAAAACTGCCATTCAAGGGATGCGAAAGAGTGAGATCAGAACTGAGTTACGCTGGCATTTTTTCATAAACCACGTAAGTAGTTTAGTAGAGTGACGGCAACCAGCAGCTCGCCGTCGACCAGTGAATCAACTAACGAGAAGCGGCTGTGTCCCCGTATGAGTGAGAGGCGTCAAAGTTCTGTTAGAGTCAATAAATACCGATGTTGTACAAAATGAAGTAGCCAAATGCAGTGCTTGCAGTCTGCCGTAGAAACTCTAAATTCAGAGAGTAAACAAATCCCCTTTAAGAATAAGGTAACTCGGCAGATCTGGGGACCTACCTACTTATTTACACAAGTCCTAGGTCCTTCGGGGTAAGATATGTCTGGCAACGCTTAGACCACTACCACAGGAGTTGTTTTATATACTGCGTCCTTTTGACCAGCACTTTGACAAATGCATAATTCTGACTAAATGTAATAAACATCGTTGCTACCGCCGATATACCGATCGGTAACTATTAGACCA